TTTCAACTATCACTTATTGAAAATATAAATTAAAATATTATAAATTAAGTGGTAATATTTAGTTATTAGAACAGTTTTGTGGTTTTTTTAGTTTATTAAAGTTTTACGGGGAAGCAATTGTGCTAAAAACTTTTCTTGTCTTTAGTCTCTTCTTGCCACGACAATCTAATATCTTATAATGTTGTCCTCGGCACCAAAGTGTCATCATGCTTTAAGTGAAGAAACATGAATTAATTTTAAATGTCTGGCTTTTAGTCATTAATAAAATAAACGAAGAAGAAGTCTTGATTTTTAGATATTACTTTGCATTTCTGATTTCTAGCTAAATCACAAAATTTCTCTGGTAATTAGATGTTACTGAGTTTATTCTCGCATTCCTGGATTGCTGTTCATTGGGATTTAAGAAATTAATGTAGGGAAGCAAGCACAAAACACTTATTGGAAACAGGGAGTATTCTGTGAAAGGATGGGTGCATCACCTATGTGTGTCTGTATTATTAAGAACAAATGTCATGTCAAATCAATCTGAATTTCTGCTATTCTAAAATAAAAGGCTACATGGATAGAGAAGCTCCAGCTGCATGTATTTTGACTTAGTATTGCTTTTGAATCTGTATTGTGTACTGATCTCTTAAGAGTACTGGAGAAAATAATCTCAGTTAAACTGCTTCAGTATGATTTTTTTTCCAGCTCATCAAAATTGTCATACATTATCAAGAGGGAAGGATGCATCAAGTGGGGACCTGCTAATGATCTGTATGATAGAGCAGGGTAAGCTTATTAAATCTGCATATAACTGAATAGGAGGAGCTCATAATTGTTTTGAAAAGCAGTAGAATCGATAATTATCCTGACAGACTGAAGAAATACTCCAGAAAAATACAGTATTGTTGAAACAGGATGTGGGCAGGGCTTTGTACTTAGGCAAATAGAGGATGGCAAATGATGGTCTAAATATCAGTTTGTGGGGGGGAGATGTAGCGTTACAGTGCATTGTAATTTATGTGTTGAAGTGCTGTGCTATAGAAAACCCCAGAGTATTGGGGCATAGCAGTGCTAATTAGAATGAAAAGGTTATGTCGTGTGTCTTGTAAGATAGGCTTCCATTTATTAGGATGATTGTGATTTTTATGAAGTATACTGTTTCAGACAAGTCCAACCATTTGGAGAGAATGGGAGAGTGGTGAAAGTAATTTAGAAAGCTAGAAAATTTGTTTTAAAAGGAAAACTAATATGATTGTAGCTGCCGTTCATTTTTCTCTTCATTGTTAATCGTGTTTAACCTGGTTTTCACATACATAAAAGTCTGGCATAAAGAATAGTGTGCTGTAATATCCATCAACAAAAAGTAAATGTGCTTAGAAGAGATGTAGGTTAGACTCTGGGTTTTGCAGTCTGTAAATCCTTTGTTGTCCGTGGACCATGAGGGACAACTAAGCAAGTATCCTTTGCTGTAAGGAAACTTGGATCTGTTTTGTAAAGATCCAGACCTCCAACAGAATTTAATAGGAAGTCAGATTTGGGAGTTCTTTAATTTTGATTTACAGAAAGGTTTCCTTAATCTCTAGTGGTGAGAACAGCAAAATATTTCAGGAGATTGGAGGCCTATAAAAATAGATGAAGCAGTGGTGGAAACCACAGGATTCCTCTACACAAATCTCTGATGATGCGTGTAGAATTGGCCACCTGCTTTCTCCAATGTGAAATATTGGTGATCTTGCAACTGGTCTTCCAGCTCAGATTCTGTTTTTCCGTTATCGTAGAATCATAGACTGCTTTGGGTTGGAAGGGACCTTAAGAGGTCATCTAGCCCAACCCTCCTGCGGTGAGCAGGGATATCTTCGACTAGACCAGGTTGCTCAGAGCCCCGTCCAACCTGGCCTTGAATGTTTCCGGGGATGGATGCCTCTCAGGGCAATCTGTGCCAGTGTTTGAATTATCAGGATTGTCTCTCAAGACTGGGAGATCCTTCTGAAGCAATGGTCTGATTTTCTGACCAGGGCAAGGAGAAAAGTACCGAATCAAGCTCAAGATAGAACTACAAAGAGTGTTGTGGGGTTTTTTCAGGTGTTTTTTGGTCTTGTGTTTCATACCAGATGAAGCCAAAAGACTCTCTACTCCAGTGTAGATCTACAGCAGCAGTTGGCACTGGAGCAGGAAAGAATAAAAAAGCAAGTATATGGTGACACGTCACAACATAGTGTAACAGCAGTCTGTAGCGCTGAGACTTTGTATTTGACTCTGGGCTCATAAGCCAGGTGAGAGCTGAGCATTCACAGAGTCCTGGGGGTGGGAATTCCGCACACTGACTACTCGTTTGGTGAAGCAGCAGTTTCATTTGTTTGCCGAGAGCAGGGTGGTGCTTGTTTTGATGCTTCCGGCTTTGTGTTGAAGAGATAGCAAAGAATCTTTGCCCGCTTTCATTCCCCATGCCACTCATTAGATGAATTTATGTAATGACATTAAGAATT